TTTTACTTTCTCGTATACGTAGCAAAGAGGAAGTTTGATAATCGGGCTAATAATCGATATCGAGATTTTCACAAATCTTGACGTTTTACACCTCCCTGAGTCGGAAAAAATTTGCAGGTTTGTCCGTGTGTGTGTGTGTATGTTAGTATTTCTTTGAACACGATAACTTGAGTACCGTTACAGTTAGGTTGATGAAATTTCATAAGTATGAATTATTTCAAATCTGTAGTTCTTTTTCAACTTTTCAGCGATTTCCGGTAAACGGAAGTGGGATTTATTCCACTTTTGGTTTTTCAAGTATATAACTTGAGTACTACTTCAGATAGATAAATGAATTTTCACATGCAAGTAAAAGATCTAATTCTCTACCTTCTGTCAAATTTTGAGTAATTTTCGTTGATAGGAAGTAGTAGTTTACGCTTTTTGTGATTTCTCAAAAAACGCATATAAAGTGCGAATAGTCCGCACTATTATACACTCATTGTTTGGCGTTCACTAGGTGCGCAATTCTTATTTCTACGAGATTCTGTACTATTTTTAAAAGTTTAAGTAATTTAAAATTGAATAAAAATCATGTCTATATCCCGAGTTGCCATATTCGAGAAAGTTTAGGGGAAATCACTCCCGCTTACTTATATAAGTTTAGTGGCTTTTGGGATTTATAAATTTTACTGTTAGATGTTTCGATGTCTCAGTGTCATTCTGAGTGACAATTTATCCTCACTGATATAAATTACCGTTATGACATTCATCATATACATTTTTAGTAGTCGTTGAACAAAAAAATATGAATTCGTAAAAGTGAAATTGAAGTCTTACGTGGCCTCTAGCGACACTTGCAGTTTTCTATCCTCCTGTTTTAACTTTACTTATGTATCCCCCTTCTCTCATGTGACCCCACCCCTCCCATATCTCCCTTCTCTCATGTGACCCCACCCCTCCCATATCTCCCTTCTCTCATGTGACCCCCACCCCTCCTATATCTCCTTTCTTTCATATGACCCCCACCCCTCCTATATCCCCCTTCTCTCATATGACCCCCACCCCTCCTATATCCCCCTTCTCTCATGTGACCCCACCCCTCCCATATCTCCCTTCTCTCATGTGACCCCCACCCCTCCTATATCTCCTTTCTTTCATATGACCCCCACCCCTCCTATATCCCCCTTCTCTCATATGACCCCTACCCCTCCTATATCTCCTTTCTTTCATATGACCCCCACCCCTCCTATATCCCCCTTCTCTCATATGACCCCCACCCCTCCTATATCCCCCTTCTCTCATATGACCCCCACCCCTCCTATATCCCCCTTCTCTCATATGACCCCCACCCCTCCTATATCCCCCTTCTCTCATATGACCCCCACCCCTCCTATATCCCCCTTCTCTCATATGACCCCCACCCCTCCTATATCCCCCTTCTCTCATATGACCCCCACCCCTCCTATATCCCCCTTCTCTCATATGACCCCCACCCCTCCTATATCCCCCTTCTCTCATATGACCCCCACCCCTCCTATATCCCCCTTCTCTCATATGACCCCCACCCCTCCTATATCCCCCTTCTCTCATATGACCCCCACCCCTCCTATATCCCCCTTCTCTCATGTGACCCCCCACCCCTCCTATATCTCCTTTCTTTCATATGACCCCCACCCCTCCTATATCTCCTTTCTTTCATATGACCCCCACCCCTCCTATATCCCCCTTCTCTCATATGACCCCCACCCCTCCTATATCTCCTTTCTTTCATATGACCCCCACCCCTCCTATATCTCCTTTCTTTCATATGACCTCCACCCCTCCCATACCCCCTTTCTCTCCAAGTTTATACACGTCCATCAAGATGTCTGATGGTCAATTATTTAAGGTACACTACCTTATCTCCGATGGCTTTGTAAGATATTGAGTGGGAGAGGGGAGAGGGGAGGGCGTGTTAAATTATCACAAAAAAACGACGGTCACCGAATCTACATAATTTTATGACTATATTTTTCTTTCTAAGATAATTTCAAACGCATGTGCTATTTTAAATAAAGTTTGTATTTTGCGTGTATTTATACCAGAGGGTGCAAATGACGTCAACAGAGGTGCTTGATACTTTACAACAATCAACGCTTCTGTTCTCTACTTCAAAACATCCCACGTTTGTAGTGATGTAATACAACGAATACGTCGCGTCATAATGCTCATACGTCACATTGCTAGAGTGTCTTAACGGGATTTCTATTAATAAACCTAGTCATGCGCAGAGCATCCTTTGACTCGCTTCCAAAATAGAGCTGCCTCGTCCTGAGGTATAAGTTCGGGGAGTTCTTTCTTCTTGGTGTGTGGTTTGATACCCTAGATTGATGTGTGTACAATGTGTGGGGAATTGGGGGTTAGATTTGTTGGGGGTTTATGTGGCTAGATTTGTGTGGTTTGTGGGGCTAGACCTATGTGTGTGGTGTGTGGGGCTGGATTTATGTGGGGAGTGTGTGGGGTTGGGTTTATGTGTGTGTATGTGGGGGGGGGGGGTTGTGGGGCTAGATTTATGTGGGGGGGGGGGTTGTGGGGCTAGAATTATGTGTGGGGTGTAGAGATATATTTATGTGCGGTTTGTAGAAATATATTGGAAGTGTGTGGAGAGTGTGTGGGGAGTGTTTGGGTAGTGTGTGGAGTGTGTGTGGAGAGTGTGTGGAGAGTGTGTGGGAGTGTGTGGGGAATTGTGGAGAGTGTGTGGGGAGTGTGGGGAGAGTGTGGGGAATATGTGGGAGTGAATGAGTATACGGGGAGTGTGTGGGAGTGTTGGGGGAGTGTGTGGGATGCGTGGTGAGTGTATGATGAGTGTGTGGGGGTTTGATGTTCGGTTTATAAATGTCAATATCTGAGAAATTGTTTCTAAGGACTAACACAGAATAATATTGTAAGAAGTTTTTTTTTTTAATTTATTCATACAACTTGAACGAAAGCCATATTGATTCTTTACCTGTCGAAAAGGTTTGCTCTAAAACGTGAATTTAAAAAAACATTTGATTTGCTAAACCTCGGCGTTTTATTTATGTGAATGTTGACGTTTACTACAGTGTACATTATTTTATCAATTTTAATTTCTCGTATATACGAAGTATAGAGAAAGTCTTGTAATCGTGCAAAAAATAAATAAACCGGGAGTGTTCTCCCCTAAACTTTCTCGAATATTATTATATAAAACAACAGGGGATGGGTACTCGAGATATAGATATGGTTTTTAATCCATTTAATCCGATACATTATGGGTATATATATATATATATATATATATATATATATATATATATATGCCTATATATATATATATATATATATATATATATATATATATATATATATATATATATATATATAGGCATATATATATATTTATAAATAAATATATATATATATATAGGCATATATATATATATATATATATATATATATATATATATATATATATATATATATATATATATATACCCATAATGTATCGGTTTAAATGGATTAAAATCGTATCTATAGGGAAACTATTATAATTCCAGCTAGCAAACACTGACTCTATGTCTAATCAGATCAATCACAGCATGAGACATGGGTAAACATGGATGGGATTGTGGTCAGACTGTGGTGAGACATGGGTGAGACTGTGGTGAGACATGTGTGAGACTGTGTTGAGACATGGGTGAGACTGTGGTGAGACATGGGTGAGACTGTGGTGAGACACAGGTGAGACTGTGGTGAGACATGGGTGAGACTGTGGTGAGACATGGGTGAGACTGTGGTCAGACATGGGTGAGACTGTGGTGAGACATGGATGAGACTGTGGTGAGACATGGGTGAGACTGTGGTCAGACATGGGTGAGACTGTGTTGAGACATGGGTGAGACTGTGGTGAGACATGGGTGAGACTGTGGTGAGACATGGGTGAGACTGTGGTGAGACAAGGGTGGGATTGTGGTGAGACTGTGTTGAGACATGGGTGAGACTGTGGTGAGACATGGGTGAGACTGTGGTCAGACATGGGTGAGACCTATGTAGATAAACGTTAGTATGACTAAAATGAGATAAGAGTGAGGTGGAAGTGAGGTGGGAGTGAGGTGGGAGTGAGGCGGGAGTTAGGCGGGAGTGAGGCGGGAGTGAGGTGGGAGTGAGGTAGGAGTGAGGTGGGAGTGAGGTGGGAGTGAGGTGGGAGTGAGGTGGGAGTGAGGTTGGAGTGAGGTGGGAGTGAGGTGGGAGTGAGGTGGGAGTGAGGTGGGAGTGAGGTGGGAGTGAGGTGGGAGTGAGGTGGGAGTGAGGTGGGAGTGAGGTGGGAGTGAGGTGGGAGTGAGGCGGGAGTGAGGTGGGAGTGAGGTGGGAGTGAGGTGGAAGTGAGGTGGGAGTGAGGTGGGAGTGAGGTGGGAGTGAGGCGGGAGTGAGGTGGGAGTGAGGCGGGAGTGAGGTGGGAGTGAGGTGGGAGTGAGGTGGGAGTGAGGTGGGAGTGAGGCGGGAGTGAGGTGGGAGTGAGGTGGGAGTGAGGTGGAAGTGAGGTGGGAGTGAGGTGGGAGTGAGGTGGGAGTGAGGTGGGAGTGAGGCGGGAGTGAGGTGGGAGTGAGGCGGGAGTGAGGTGGGAGTGAGGTGGGAGTGAGGTGGGAGTGAGGTGGGAGTGAGGTGGGAGTGAGGCGGGAGTGAGGTGGGAGTGAGGTGGGAGTGAGGTGGAAGTGAGGTGGGAGTGAGGTGGGAGTGAGGTGGGAGTGAGGCGGGAGTGAGGTGGGAGTGAGGCGGGAGTGAGGTGGGAGTGAGGTGGGAGTGAGGTGGGAGTGAGGTGGGAGTGAGGCGGGAGTGAGGTGGGAGTGAGGCGGGAGTGAGGTTAGAGTGAGATAGAGGCGCCACGACCGAGGCAAAAAAGGTATGAAGTCAGGTGAACCACCACCACGTGATTAGCTGGCTTATTGCAGTTTTTTTTATAAACAAGCAGGGAATGAGGGAGCGGACGGTCATCACGTGACGAGCAGTGAGAGACATTGTCTGTGGCACCAGTCACAGACCGCGAGAAGAACGAGTGCCATCCCAGCCGCCTCGTGCCAGCTCGCTCAGGACAAAATCAATTGACATCAACAACTGAGCCCAGACCCGTTCCTGTTCCACTGACGAGCACCATGGCTTCACTTACAGAGTTCCAGAGGAAGAAGATCTTAAACTTGTTTGAGAACCTTTATGGTAAGTCTGTGTGTGCTTGCTCAATCTTAAACTTGTTTGAGAACCTTTATGGTAAGTCTGTGTGTGCTTGCTCAATCTTAAACTTGTTTGAGAACCTTTATGGTAAGTCTGTGTGTGCTTGCTAGTCTGTCTCTTCAAGTCTTCTCCACGCAGGTCTTTTTCTAGTAATGTCTGTCTAAAGGCAAGTAATTGTCTTTCTATTTAAAGTCTGTCTGCAAGAACAAAATTCTGTCTACTGAGACTCTGATTTGTGTATACAATTTCCAATCCTCCGGTATGGAAGTTTTAAAGCATGTTTAGTTTTCTATTTAGTTCTAACTAAACGAACTAAAAATGTTTTAGTTTTCTCTTCAGTTCTAACAAAAAGAACTAAAATGTTTTAGTTTTCTATTTAATTCTAACTAAAAGAACTAAAATGTTTTAGTTTTCTATTTAGTACTAACTAAACACAGCAGTCTGATAAAAAGATCCTCACAACTTAATTTCCTACTGTAGACGGTGGTCAAATCAATTGGTTTAATCCTACTTTAATTGTGCCAGTCTGGCCTTTAGTGATGCTGTATTTTGTTTCAATGGTCAACAAAACTCCTGGCCAATTTGTTTTTGTCAAACAGACGTTTTTTTTTTTACTAATCTCTCAATTGAAAGATTTTATAAGATTACACATGTAGGTAAATGTCATGACATATATGCACTATGCAGGTAAAAATTGCCCCTGCCTGTTCCTACATGACCTTGAGGTTGACCTTAGCTTGAACATCACAGTTTTATAAAGTGTCATTTCATGACAGAATGTCATTTCTCAATAGAATATCATGCCTCATTGAATGGCATTTCTTAATAGAATGCGATAGATTGCAAGTCCCTATTAAATTACAATAGCGAACTAACTTAAAATATATTTAATTATCTCATGTGTTCATCTTGCGTTGTATTTAATCCGAATATTTTATACATGTTTTTTGTATGCTTGATTATACCATGTTTGTATGAACGACACGACCCCATCAATTAGGAAGTTCCCTGGAACAGGGGCTGGATCCCGGTTTGGGGTCATTTATACTCGCCCATCAGTAATATTTGATATAACACACTATACATCACATCATTTGATGTATAGTGTAGCCCATCATTAAGTTATAATATTGTACATCAGTGTCCTTGATATATAACACATTACATCATTACATCATTTGACAAGTGAAGAACAGTTCTGATATAATACCACAGTATTTGTTTTATAACACAACAGGCAATAGTAGACTTATAACATCGTATATCACAGTATTTGTTATATAACACAACAGACCATATTAGCCTTATAACATCGTATATCACAGTATTTGTTATATGACACAACAGACCATATTAGCCTTATAACATCGTATATCACAGTATTTGTTGTATCGCACATCACATCATTACATCAACTGATGTAAAAAAATGGTTTGATATTTGAATGTAGACATGTGCTTATCCGTACAATTCCCGTAGGTTGCTAGGCAACAGCGTAGCGTCGAGAACGTCTCCGCTAGTAGAGAATCAAGTGACAAATGACAACCCTGAGGCACGGTGGGTGGGTATGGGGAGTTGGGGGGCATTCAGATTTTAATTCGTCCACTAAATCCATCCTGTCTCATACAACAATTTTATCATGGATTTAATTTATCTAATTTGCTAGCTGACATATACAACTTTGGATTCAATATTGGCAAGATCATTAACAGAGACAATAAATAAATAAATAAATATATATATAAACGTGTAAATAATAAAGAAAAAAAATTAAAAATAAAATTAAAAAAAAAATAAATTTAAAAAAATATTTAAAAAAAAAAATAAATAAATAAATAAATAAATAAATAAATAAATAAATAAATAAATAAATAAATAAATAAATAAATAAATAAATAAATAAATAAATAAATAAATAAATAAATAAATAAATAAATAAATAAATAAATAAATAAATAAATAAATAAATAAATAAATAAATAAAAATAATTTTAAAAAATGAATGAATGAATAAATAAATAAATAAATAAATAAATAAATAAATAAATAAATATATATATATATATATATATATATATATATATATATATATATATATATATATATATATATATATATATACTCTATGCAAACTATAAATTTTATATTGAATAAAATATATTTACAAACTACAAACTCTATATTAAAATGTCCCCTCACTACACAATAATTTGTGACCGGTCAAAGTGTATTAGATCAAATAAAAACAACGTATTGTTCTATTGTGGAAGACGAGACCAAAACTGCATCGAGTAGACCTTGTATAACCTACACCATAGTGTTAGCACAGCCCCACCCCCACCCCGCCCTACAGAACGCCACTAAGAATTTGTAGTCTCAGCTTACGATAGATCCTGTTGTCTCTCCCCCCCCCCCCCCCCCACTCCCCCCACCTCGAGTCTGAGGACAACTACGTTGTTTAGAGAGCAGTAGTGCCATTGATTTTTGAAAACTAAAACTGTTATTGCGCCATCTTCATGCCATCAGTCCGGTCCTTGCATCAAGATTTCAATTTCAATTGACATGGTTTTTTTTTGCCATAGCACAACTCGTTTGTTGGTCTGTTTGTTTAAGGCGGACAGACGAGGTGGGCTTTTGTCTTAGTTTTCTCCACTGGTTTTCTAATAACCGGCAAGGGGAGTTATCTTGGTGGTGTTTTGTCTTAGTTTTCTCCCCTGGTTTTCTAATAACATCACTGTGGGTTTTCTAAAAACCATCTAGTGGAGTTATCTTGGTGGTGTTTTGTCTCAGTTCTCCCCCCTCATTGTGGGTTTTCTAAAAACCATCAAGTAGAGTTATCTTGGTGGTGTTTTGTCTTAGTTCTCTCCCTTGGTTTTCTAAAAACCATCAAGTGGAGTTATCTTGGTGGTGTTTTGTCTCAGTTCTCTCCCCTCACTGTGGGTTTTCTAAAAACCATCTAGTGGAGTTATCTTGGTGGTGTTTTGTCTTAATTCTCTCCCCTGGTTTTCTAAAAACATCTAGTGGAGTTATCTTGGTGGTATTTTGTCTTAGTTCTCTCCCCTACTGTGGGTTTTCTAAAACCATCCGGTGGAGTTATCTTGGTGGTGTTTTGTGTCAGTTCTCTCCCCTCATTGTGGGTTTTCTAAAAACCATCCGGTGGAGTTATCTTGGTGGTGTTTTGTCTCAGTTCTCTCCCCTACTGTGGGTTTTCTAAAACCATCTAGTGGAGTTATCTTGGTGGTGTTTTGTCTCAGTTCTCTCCCCTACTGTGGGTTTTCTAAAACCATCTAGTGGAGTTATCTTGGTGGTGTTTTGTCTTAGTTCTCTCCCCTTACTATGTGGGTTTTCTCCCTTTGGTCTGGTAACGAACTTGTCCTTAGGTCCCCAGGTCTCCAGGGTGTGTCACGTGATCTTGTTACTCCATCAAGCTGATGACGTGGCTGTCATCCCGGCCCCCGAGGTCCGAGTTTAAAAGTTAACAGCAGACCCTCAACTGTGTCATATGACATATGGTACCTCCTCCTTGCTGTCATATGACATTTGGAGGTTGTTGGAATCTGAGGGTTGAAGGCCGGGGTAGACGGTACCAGAGAAATGTTTTAGTGTCTGACAGTGTGACGGCGTCTTGGTTGGACGTTTTATGTTACTGTGTGTTTGTGTGTGTATGGGGGGGGGGGGTATTTATCGGTTGGTGTTTGTGTATGTGCGCACGTGTGGATGTGTGAGTTTGTCCTCTGTATGTGCGAATGATTCTGTCTATCTCAATGTATATTTGCGAGTGAGTGTGTATAAGAGTGATTATGTGAGAGTGGGTGTTTCAATTGATATTTGTGTGTGTGTGTGTGTGTGTGTGTGTAAAAGTGTGTGTGAGAGAGAGAGAGAGAGAGAGAGATTGTGTGTGTGTCTATGTTTGACATTGACAATCATTCACATAAAGAATGTAACCCTTGAATTCCATCGGATCAGAAGGACATGTAACACAAATGTTGATTTTCTAGTCAAGTCAGCCATTTTGTGTTCTTGCAAATCATGGTCGTTCTCAGAAGAAACAATCTTTAACTGACCACAAGACCACATGCCCAAACCAAACAATCTTTAACTGACCACAAGACCACAGGACCACATCCCCAAACCAAACAATCTTTAACTGACCACTTGACCACAGACCACATCCCCAAACTAAACAATCTTTAACTGACCACAAGACTACTACATCTACTGCCTCCGTTAACCTTACACTTTTGTAGACTTTTCCCTGTATGTAAGACCGCGTGTGGACATTATACATGCATATCCTGTTTCCATAAAGTATCCTTCATAAGCCGCCATTGTTGTCTATATGCGATCTATTCAGCGTGTTGTGGAAATGTTCGATCTTTTGGTTATAAAACCAAACGTCCCAAACCGTTTTCCGTCCGTCTGATCTTTGTGATCATCTTTAGACATGCGCAGACGTCATGCTGTCTAGAGTAGCGCGTTTTTTAAAGGTTTAATGGTGTCGAGATTTTCATGTCTTTAACCGTCCATGCATTTTACTGTCCCTATCTTTGATCGCCCATGCATTTTACTGTCCATATCTTTAACCGTCCATGCATTTTACTGTCCATATCTTTGACCGTCCATGCATTTTACTGTCCATATATTGACCGTCTATGCCTTTTACCGTCCATGTCCTAAAATATCCACGTCAGAAACCGCTAATGGTGTCCTCCATACCCAAACCGTCCATGTCTTTTACCGTCTGTTTATCGTATCAGAATGTGTCTCAGACAAAAATGGCGGCCATGTTATGAGGGGGTGGGATTTGGCGGGGAGGGACGTATTTCAGACATTTTATGTCGAGACATTTAAACCTGAGTCCATTATAGATTTCGATGTCTCTCGCCTTTAGTCAATGTGGCATGACAATCTGGCCTGTTTGATGTCGAGACATTTAAACCTGAGTCCATTATAGATTTCGATGTCTCTCGCCTTTAGTCAAGGTG